TGGAGAACTCGTTATTTATTTAGAGATAAATCGTTATCTAAATAATTATAACATTTTACAAATTTATTAATGTTTTTTAATAACCCCAATACATCATGTAAAATATCTTTTACCATTTATTTGGTATCTTTAAAATCTACAAATAAAAGGTAGGGTAGTAATTGATGATAAATTTAAATTAAATTTTTTTTTAATTCATGCATGCTTTACAGTAGAGAAATAAAAAGTAATTCTTAATTCACATTCACTCTAGGCAAATTTATTTTTGTTTAAAATCATGATATATGTATAAGATTTGATATAGTTTTTTTTTTTTTTAATTTTAAATTGTATACTATAACTTCAACGCAAGTAACAATAATCTAAATATTAATAATGCAAATAATAATTATAACTTTAATAGAGTCTTTTCTTTTCTTGATTGATCATCATCATCAAATGAAAGTTATTAGTAACATTATCAACAAAAAATATTATCTTAAAAGGAACTATTAATAATAATAACAAGAATTCAGGGTTTATTAGCTTGAATTTTTAGTTATATTAAATAAAATAAATTATGTAAACATTGTTAATTAAATCATTTATTATTAAATGTATATAAATATTTAACATTTCTAAATTGTAAAGCATGCAATAATAACTGATTTACAAATTATCTGAATTTACATTTGTTCTTACTTCATAACCTGATAAGAATGTTAGGTCTAAAGATTCAGTTCATTCACTGAAAAATCAAGTTTCGTTAATTGACGGAGCCAGTCGGACTTGACTTACAGCCTCCAGTTTTTAGTCGTGGTCAGTTATAGGTTGCTCTTTTTTGTTACACATCACCACAGTCCATTAAAATATTTTTCCTCAAAGATAATCATATGAGCTCAAAAACTAAAATAGTCCGATTGTTTTTTTTAAAGTACCCACCGCGTGAATAGGGGTAACGTCAATCAATTTTACATTTGTTGTATCTATTTTTATTTTTAAGAAAGACATGAGAATTTGATCTTGAAATTTCGTTTAATCTTTAACCTTTGACATTTTGATCAGTTATAAAAACAAAATTCATTTCATATAATATTTTGATCGTTGTGGCAGTTATCATTAAAATAAATAAGAATCAATAATTATATTATTTAACTTGATTGAAAGAGTGAAAAAGTGTGAGAGGGAATGAAAGGTGAAAGAGAAATAGAGAGTAAGAGAAAAAGGATAAGTGAGAAAGAAGAAGGATAAGCAGTAAATTTATCTTTTAGTAATATACTTGTCCAATTTTAAAGTCTTCTATATTTGTTTTAATTTCTTGATTTAGCACAATAAAAATCTTTATTTTATAAATAAATAATTTCGGCAGGATTAATATCATTCAATCTCGAAATTGCAATTTTTCTTTATAAATAAATTCGTTTATTACAGTCACGCACGCAGCACATTGTGTGTAATTTTGCTGACATTCTATAATAAATAATATAAATAACAATAAAAAAAATGGAAAAGTAAATGATATTGATTGTTTTTGGATAATTAATTTAATTATTTAAATTATTTTATTTTTTAATTAAAAAAATATTAATCCTGCGAAAATCAGGTAGATCGAAAAATAAATAAGAAAATTATTTTTTTAAAAAAAAAATTCTTGACATTTTATTTTATTTTTATTATATCATTTTTTTTTGGTGAAATATAATTTTTAATATTTAATTTGTAAAAATTATGTAGTTCGAAAAAATAAAGAAATAAGAAATTTATTATTTTTTTTTCATTTATCGTTAAAATACACATGAAAAAGAATGAAAATCGAGAAGTAATTATTATTTTTTGTTAAAAAAATATTTATATTAATTTGTAAACATAAAAAAAGAATATACCAATAATAATGTACTTCGTTTAAAAATTAAGGTATCGGTTTTCCATTTCGGGTCACGAAAATCGTCCCAAAAAAAAGAGTGTTTGAAAATCTTTTTCTTAGGTCTACCAATTGGATGAAAGAATCTCGTGCCTTGATTTCGATGTGAATTCTTCGAAACAGGGGGTTATAATTTCAACAGCACAGTTTTTCGCTTGTGGTGGTGATAATAAAAAACAAACAATGAAAAAAATGACTTTGTATAAATTATTATCATATGTAATTCGCTGATTGAAATCCAAAAGGATGAATATCAATTTAAGGATGCAGAAACGCAAAATATTTTCGATTATAGGTAATAAATATTTTTAAACTTTATTTATATTAATAGGAATTTTTCTCATAATATTAATTAAAGTATAATATATTCTTTGTTCATCATGTTTAGAAAGTCTAAATTTTAGACTTTTTTTTTAATGCATAATAATGACGCACATGTAATTTCGCAAGTTTAATATTATCCTAAGTTTAAATTTACATCCAAACCTACATTCAACCATTGGAGTTGCAATGGTGAATAACTTGAATTTAACCTACATCGGCAGATACATTCATCCATTGGTGGTTAATGGTAAAGAGTTATAACTAATTGGTTCGTATAAAATATGTTTATACTGATTTATTGTCTCTATATACAGATTATACTGACTCTGAGTAAATTAACAATGGAAATTCGATATAAAAGGACCGTTAATCGTCTCTTTTTTATTTCTTTTTTTTTCAAAATAAGCGCAGCTTTAATTCTAAAAAAAATGCAATTCTTATACCACATTCTATATTCAGTTTTTGTCTTCGCCTTATTTATTTCCAATAACCCAACGATATGCCACAGGTACACGTATTCTCCAGAAGAACTTATCAGAAACCGATTATTTTACATTGAACCGGCGAAAACTGCCTTTTCTCTTGATGTTAAACCCATAAGTTATCCTCCTAAATGTAAATTAATACAATTACATTTGAATACTAGACATGGTAATTATTATTTGATCTAAACGTACGAATTTGACAATGTAAAATAATCTTTTTAAATTAATTATTAGGATCGAGATACCCGGATGCTGAGGAAGTGGCTGAATATGATCAGTTGGAAGAAATATTCGCTAATGTCCCTATTGCAAAAGAATGGGTAATATATAATTATTTTCTATATTTAGCAAAACTTGTCAATATTTAAGAACACTTTTCTTTTTAGTATAAAAATCCTTTTCCGCTGAGTAAAAATTATCAATTGATCGAACGAGGAGAAAAAGAAGCATATTCTGATGGTTTACAATGTCGTAAAAGATACGCAAAATTTTGGAAAGGAGTTAAATTTGATCCCGAAGTTATAAAGTTTCAAAGTTCTGCTGTTTCGAGGTACAATTTAACATACATATATACTGTACATGATTTTTCATGTTTTCATACGCATATTATAAAATACAATACCTAATATTACTATTTAAAGAACCGGCATGTCAGCAATGGCCTTTTCTGAAGGATTATTTAATGGCTTTGGCTCCTTAGATACTTGTAAAAGTCAACCAGTGTATATTTCTTCTATTCCTTCGGTAAATTTTTATTTTTTATTACGTTATTTGTAAAATATTTTTTGTTCAAACCCGTTAACATATTGCGCCTTATATAGGAACAAGATTCTGTGTTGCGACCATATTTGTGTCCACGTTTTGATCAGACCGTTGTTAACATTACTAATAATGTAAAACTCCAAGAACAAATTTATCAATATGGAAACGAGACCCTAAATCCAATTGCTAAGCGTCTTTCCGAAAAATATAACATCACACTCGATCCATTTTTAGTACCAGCTATTTTTACTTATTGTCAATTTTGGATTCTTTTTTATAATCGAGCTGATACGTGGTGTTCATTACTAAGTCCCGAGGAACTTCTACGATCACGATATTATTACGATCTTAGTATGTATTATCAGTATCAATATGGTCATCCTTTTAATAAACAAATGGGATGTGCTTATTACACTCAACTTGTAAATGGAGTTGAAAGTTATTTAAATGGGACATCTTCTGTGATAGCTGATCTAAAGAATTCTCATGGCTTGACTTTGTTATTACAACTTACTTCATTAGTATGTGAAAATTTTCATTTCCATTTTCATTCCCATTTTATTTATTTTTTTGATGCATAAAAATAAATATATATATATATATATATTAACTTTTAATTATAGGGACTACTTAAAGAAAAATTCGAACTCACGGCAGATTTACCCCTTAAAAAAATCAAACAAATCAGGTCAACAGGATTTACAGTTATACATTGGTCTTCTACTCTTTATTTTGAAATTTATAATTGTTCGGGTGATAGCAAGGATGATGATGTAAGGGTACGAGTGTTACTTGACTTTAAACCACTTGTGATTCCGGGTTGTAGCGAATATTGTAAATGGAATGAGTTTAAAAATATTCTTGGCGTTCAGATTGGATGCGATTGGAATGAGATGTGCGCTTATCCTTAATAAGATGTGAAAGATAGATGAATTGATCTTTTCTTTACTATTATATTTATGTTATGTGTATATTAAATATTTTTATGCAAGAAACCTTTTCTTTCCTATAAATGATTAAATAAAATATGATTCTACCAATGGTATGATTTTATTACAAAAATTTTATTGTATATACTTAAAAACGTATTAAAATTTTTGAAAAAAAAGAAAGATATTTTTATCAAAAAGTGGTATCGAAAGTTTAATTAATAAAAGAAGAAAAACATAGTAGTATTGAAAATTTAACTAACAAAGCATCATTTTTTTTTTATTCTTGTACGAATAAATTTGTAATTACAGATATGTTAAGTGAAATGATTTTTTATTCTCATTATTAGTAATTTAAGTTCAATGCCGAAATTAATAATAAGACATCTTGTTCTTGTATTTATTTTTTTATCGCAATGCACTTAATAGTTTCACCGCTATAAAAAAAAATGCACGAAAATAAAAATTAATTATTTTTATTCATTTTTTTACCACTGGACATTCGTTTTAAAAGGTGATCGCCAAATGAACAAATTGATCATACCGCAAAGTGCATGCCAAAGGAACAAATTGATCATACCAAAGTACATCTCATAACTTTTAGGCTTGATGCAGCGACTTGACACAAGCTAATGGACCCTTTTACAAAAAAAAAAAAAAATTAAACCGAAAATAAAAAATTACATTCTAATAACTCGACGTCATCGAATCATTCAAGATGGAAATTTTGTTATCTCATACATGGTTTGCACCAACTACAATCCCATAAATATATTTTTGATTGCTTTTATTTGTTTATAGTTTCTTTTATAAAAAATTGATTGAAATTTAAGAATGTAAAAAAAAAATTTTCTCAAACTTTATGTAATAAATTATTAAATGTTATGATACTACAACAGTACAGTTAAAATATTAATTTTATTACTTTAATTATAAAGAAAAAGGGGTAAAATAGTAAGGCAGTTAGTTAAACAAAAATAATTGTAACTAATATATTAATTTAAACAAAGGGATTTAACATTTTTTTTTTTTAAGATCTTTAAGTGAAAACTAATAAGGCAAAAAGATACTAAATATGATAAAATATTTTTCCATAAATCACGTGATATGTAACGTAGTATATTTACGCCGCCTTTAGCATATTATCATGCATTATTACTTTAGGTTATTCAATTCCGTAAACAATTACACAATTACAAATGTACCTTTCTATAGAATGCGATAACCATAAATAAACAAATAATAAATAAAAAATAAATAATGCACAAAATAGTTTTTTTTCGGTGCATTATCAAATATAATTAAAACCGTTAATTATTATACTAATTTGACTACTTAATATATATAAATATATTATAAATATATTGCGTACTTTATTACGCTTATTTTAATAATCTTTTGTATAGATCTATACAAAAAAAGTTATATTTTTTCATGAAGAATATATTTTCTTTTTAATTTGATATAATTAATTAACATCATTAATATAGATTAAGCTACAAATACCAATTTTTTTTATTATAAGCGAAATTACCACTTATCTTACTTGTCTTTTATTATTTTAAAGAAGAATGAATACATTTCAATTTTAAATTTTTTCAATATTTAAAGATTTACAGAATAACAAGGGTTCAGGGTCAAGGACACTTTATATTTTATAATTCAATATTTTAATAATAATATTACCTTATTATATTAAATGAATGATCTCAAATCTGGTAGGAAATTCATTCCCTGAAAAATAAAGTCCCGTTGTTTGAATCAAGAGCGCCACTGTTATTAATAGTTTTTAAAATGCCAGTTGCATAAAATCGATCCGAAGTAAACATACATATGGGCTCGCGGGTCTAACAGTAGTCTCGTAATCTTAAAATTGATGGTATTAAAAATTTATAAGGTAATAAAGTTTAATATTCTAAAGATGTTAGTTGTGTTAGCTGCTTATATAGTTTTTTTGAATAATAATTATTTCTTTATTCTTGTACGAGAATAAAATTTATAATTAATTTTATATTTATTTATTTATCATAAAACAATTCCTTGATAATTAAAATATGCGGTTGTTTATTATTTGTTTTTTTAAAAAAAATTGTGCATTTTAGACATATATTATTAATTGTAAGATAATTGCTTACTCATAAATTTACGAAATCAAAATTGTGATTCGAGTAGAGAGTCCATATAATATTCATACTTTCTTCAATTCTTTTTATTAAACGATGTAAAATTTAAATTAGATTAAATAAAATTTAATAATTTTATTAATAAATATAGAACTAAGATAAGATAATAATGATTTTGAATTGTAACACAATTATTAGAATTTGCCTATTTCATCAGACAAGGCGTAGCGGACTTTGTTTTAGACATTATGAATATATATATTTCTCAATTAGAAATAATTTGATTGCATAATTAAAAGTGTCGTGTTTGACAAAATAACAAGTTAATATAACCTTATAAGAGCGATGTAATAACAAATTGATTATTTGGGATTTTTTTTTTTTTTTTTTTTTTTTTTTTTTTTTTTTTTTTTTTTAACGGAGAGAACGTTTATTTTGCAGTCATTTCAGTTTGAAGTTTTAAAATAATAAAGAATGTCTTTTAAATTTTTTGATAAATTATCTCTCGATTTTTCAAAACTTCTTAATGACAAAAAAGAATATAATGTTGTCATCGAAGTTGATAAAGATGAAAATAAGAAATCTTTTGCTGCACACTCAATTATCTTACGTTATCGTTCACCATACTTTGATAAACAATTAGATAACGTCACTACGAACGAAAATCATATCAAAACTATTATTAAACCAAATATTTCGGTTCAAATATTCGAAATTATTATTAGGTAAGACAAAAAATTATGCATACTTTAAATATTAAATAAATATTAATTAAATATTAAATTAAATATATAATATTGTAACTCGATATTAATAAAATAAAATGTATTGAATAGATATATCTACGGTGGAATTGTCGATATTGAAAATTCGGATAGCAAAATCATTTATGAATTAATGGTTAGTGCTGGTGAATTAGAACTTAAAGAACTTTCAGGAAAATTGGAAAATTATCTTCTTGAATATAAAACTACTTGGTTAAAAACCCATTTCTCCTTTGGTTATCATCCAATCTTTAATAGTACTTTTGATAGTAATGAGTTTAAAGGTTTGAAAAAATTTTATAATGATATAGTTGTAAAACATCCAAATTTGATTTTTGAATCAGAAGATTTCACTTCACTCCAAGAAACAGCATTGCTTTCTATTTTGCAAAGAGACGACTTGAAAGTCGAAGAAATTAAAATTTGGGATTATGTTATTAAATGGGGCATTGCACAAAATCCCACTTTACCTAAGAATTTGGAAGAGTGGACTTATAAAAATTTCAGGGCTTTGAAAATTACGTTACAACAATGTTTACCACTTATTCGATATTTTATTATTCCCGGCGAAGATATTTGGAAGAATGTAAAGCCATATAGAAAAATACTTGATAAACAGCTTTGGGATGACTTAACTCAATATTTTATGTTTCCGAATCAACCTGTCAGATCCCCTATTTTACCAGCGAGAACCAGAACATTGCCTTCAAGAATCATTTCAACTTTTAATCCGCCTGCAAGAGCCACTTCAACTCGAACAGTCTTAACTATCGATTCACATACAAAAATCATTTCATCTTCAAGATCCCCGAACCCTATATTGCCATTCTCAACTATAATACCTTCAAAACCTAATTCAACTCCTAAATTGCCATTCTCTTTTATAATCAACAGAGAACATGTTGCAAAACTTTCATCATGGATTGACCGAAGATCATCTATTTATTCTTTAGAAAATATACCTTATGAATTTCAATTAATTATTCGAGGAAGTAGGGATGGTTTTCATCCTAAGAAATTTTGGGATATGTGCAATGGACATGCTGGAACAATTGTGATTGCAAAGGTTGCTGAAACGGATGAAATAGTAGGTGGTTATAATCCTTTAGCTTGGGATAATTCAACAGTAGGTACTTACATGAAAACAAATGATAGTTTCATTTTTTCATTAAAAAATGGGAATATTCAAAATTCAATTCTCAGCAGAATCAAAGATCCAAGTAAAGCTCTATTTTATTCTAAATCCAAAAATCAGAATACTTACGGTCCATATTTTGGTTGTACTGAATTTCTAATGGAATCGAATGTTTCCAATTTTATTCAAGAACAACAATGTTTATGTTGTCATTTTTCTACATCTCATGCTTATAAAAAACCTATTAGAACAACAAATGAAAGGTTTTCTATTGTAGAGTATGAAGTATTTAAGATTATTAAAAATTAAAAAACAATCTATTGTATTTATTGTATGCGATTTTTTTAATGTAATTGATAATTTTATTTATTTTAGATAATAAATTCTAATTTTTAAATAATTAATACATATCACTATATTTACTTGAAATTGAAATGATAAAAAAGTATGTGTACTTTTATTAATTACTAATTAACCGACAATTTTAATATGCCAAAACAAGTTCCGGGATAGTTTTGATTGTTTTCTCGATACAATATATGTGTCATTTCTACGTTATTATTTAATCTTTACTTTACGTTAATAAAGAGTCAGTAAATATTTAGCGAATGTAAAAAAAAAATAATATTTACATCAGTTCAATCATTTGATGTATCCAAAATATTTCTATGAAAATTCTTCATAAAAACTGGAGAACTCATTATTTATTTAGAAGTGGATCGTTGTCTAAAAAAAAAATATTATATCTTCATTTACATTTACGAAATTATTAAAATTATCAATACTTTTAATTCTGCATCATTTTAATTATATTAATTATATTTCTATTTTTAAAATCTATTAAATATAAGGTAACCATTTTATTATTGTTTCGTGATGATAATAAATTATATTTTTCTTAAAATGTCGTTGTTTACTTTCACTGCACTATATATAGTCTAAGAGAAGTAAATAAATTGCATTCTTTTTATGACATTTATTTTTTGTTCACTTAATGTGTTTAAAAGATGATACTGTATATACGATTAGCTAAATTGAACGGTACGAACGACCGACCATTGACATGCGATTAAAATTCGTATCATTTGTATTGTACGAATTTCAGTGGTGCTATTAAAGATCGTACAGTCTTTTCATCATACCTCAAATAAGCAATCTTTTTTCGTTAAATTTTTTAAAAGAAATTAATTATTACTATTATCATATTTTTTTCGGTTATTTTTCCAGCTATAAAAGAGATGGAATTTAATAAATTCAATAAACTTAAAAAATCAACACAATTTGTAGACTTTGTGCCTGATTTTTTTTTTCTCGAAAAAGGAATAAAATATAGATGTCGGACAGCATTTGTTAATGTTATCGTATTTCTTATAAGTTAATAAACCCTATAAGAACGATGCAATGAATTTACAATTTTTTTGGGATTATCAGATTTGTTCAATAAATTGTTCAAGAAATTGTATAACACGGATTAAATGTCTATTTATGCGGTCAGTTCAGTTTGAAATTTCGAAATAATAAAAAAAAATGTCTATTAAATTTTTGGATAAATTATATCAAGATTTTTCAAACTTCTTAATGACAAAAAAGAATATAATATTGTCATCTAAGTTGATAAATAAGAAAATAAGAAATCTTTTACTGCACATTCAGTTGTATTACGTTATCGTTCTCCATACTTTGATAAAGAATTAGACGACGCTACTACGAACGATAACCATATCAAAACTATTATTAAACCAAATATTTCTGCTCGAATATTCGAAATTATTCTTAAGTCAAGAACTATTCATAACTTTAAATATTTAATACATTGTAACCCAATATTAATAAAATATAATAAATTTTTAGATATATATATGGTGGAATTGTCAGTATTGAAAATATGAATACCAGACCATTTATGAATTATTGGTCAATGCCAATGAATTAGAACTTAAAAAACTATCAGGAAATTAGAAAGATATTTTGTCGAATCCAAGTTCTTTGGTTAAGAACTCATTTCTCCCTTGTTTATTATTCAATCTTTAATAGTGATGGCTTGAAGAAGTTTTATAATGATATTATTGTAAAATATCCAAATTTGATTTTTGAATCAGATGATTTCACTTCACTCCAAGACACTGCATTAATTTCTATTTTAAAAGAAATGATTTGAATATCGAAGAAGTTAAAATTTGAATCATGTTATCAAATGGGGAATTGCACAAAATCTTACTTTACCAATTAATTCGGAAGAATGGTCTGATGAAAATTTCAAGGCTTTGAAAATAACATTACAACAATGTTTACCGCTTATCTGATATTTCCATATCTCTGGTGAAGATATTTGGAAGAATGTAAAACCATATAGAAAAATTCTTGAAAAACAACTTTGGGATGATATAACTCAATATTTTATGTTTCCAAATCAACCTATCAAATCCCCTGTTCCGCCAGCGAGAATCATTTCATCACCAAATTTGCCTTCAGATACTATTTCGGCTCATAATTTTCCTTCAAAAACTATTTGCACTCCTAATTTGCATTCAAAAGCCACTTCTACTCTCGATTTGCCACCTACTACAAGAACCATTTTAACTCATAAATTCCCATTCTCGACTGTAATCAATAAAGAACAAGTTGCAGAACTTTCTTCATGGATTGATCGAAAGTTGACAACTTATTCAATAGGAAAGATACCTTACGAATTTCAATTAATTCTTCAAGGAAGTAGAGATGGTTTTCATCCCAAGAAATTTTGGAATATTTGTAATGGACATGCTAGTACAATTGTGGTTGCAAAGATTGCTGGAACTAATGAAATAGGTGTTGGTTATAATCCTTTAACTTGGAATAATTCAACAACAGGTACTTATATGAAAACAAATGATAGTTTTATTTTTTCATTAAGAAAGGGAATATTCAAAATTCAATTCTCAGCAGAATCAAAGATCCAAGTAAAGCTCTATATTATTCTAAATCTGCTTCAGAATATTTGTGGCCCATATTTTGGTTGTACGGAATTTCTAATGGAATCAAATGTTTCCGATTTTACTCAAGAACAACAAAGTTTATGCTGTCATTTTTCTTCATCTCATGCGTATAAAAGATCTATTGGAACAACAAATAAAAGGTTTTCTATTGTAGAGTATGAAGTATTTAAGATTATTATTAAAGATTGAAAATTGAATTCCAAACTGTACAATCAGACAATGAAATCTCATTATTTAAATAGTTTACATATTTTAATGATAATAAAAACTATTTATTATTTTTAATAATTTTATCTAATATAATCTAATATTAATAAAACGAATAATAAACGGATCAAAATAGATATTAATAATTTTGTGAAAATTTATTTTTTTAACATATACAATAAATAGTTTGTGACTTTTGAGGAAAAATCTTGTTTTTTTTTTTAAAAAAAATAAAATAACAATTCTTTAAAAAAAAATTTTTTTTTATTTAAATTTATTATAAAAAAAAAAATTATGGTGGGTTTGATTTTTTTTGCTTATTTTATAATTTATAAATTTAATTTTTTTAATATGACATTAAATTAGAATTTTAATGACTTTATCACGAGTTCATATAATATAATAAAACATTGAAACGTGTATTTTTTTTTTAATTTATGATAATAATATGAATTATAATATATAAGGTATTTAAAATATCTGACATTTTTTTCAATAATATAATAAAAACGTAAAAGAACAAAGTCCTAATCCCAAGAAAAAAAATGTAAAAGAGAATTCAAAATTATCATCAAGGCGTTGTAATTCATATTCAATTTTTCTTTTCAATTATTCGTATATAATAAAACACAAAAAATTTTCATAAAAAATGCAAAATTCCATTCTTTGTTTCCTTCGTAAAAAATTTAAATATTCAATATAAAGTAATTATAGTCGTGTGACTTTAAAATGTTGGGTTCAACTACCTTATAATCATGATTTGTTGTGGTGAGTTTTTTTTTTAGCTTTTTTTTTTGTTTTATGGATAATAAATTAATGATAAATTCATTCCCTTTCTTCATAGTAAATAATAGTGATAAATAATAGTAATGAATAAAATAAATAAATAATAATAATAATAATAAAATATTGCGATGCTGATTACTTAATGCGCCTCGAAGAAGCTGCTGCCAAATGTATTTAAAAAAAAAACCATTTAATATGTGATATTTTTTTATAACATATTTTTATTTATTTAAACAAGATTTAATAATTGTAGTGTGGAAATGACAAATAAATAATCTAAATACTAATAAATATTTGGAAGTAATATGATTTATGATAGATTTAAGGATGTTAAACGAATAGCTAGAGGTGAATTTGGAACAATACATTTAACTAGGCGGATCAATTTATAAATGGTCAATTGAAAATCAACAATGGAACAGATATGATCTAGAAGCAGTGATATTAAAAAAGTTTGAATGAGATAGATAAATAAATTTGGTTTTAGCTATCCGCAATTCAGGGCAAATTTGACCGAAAATTTTTTCCTAGGAAATGGGAATTAGATTATTTGAGTTACATTATTGGAATCAAAAGATACCACATGACGGTACAAGAATCACATGTCGTGACAAGAATTCTAATCCTAGACATAAGCTATGACCCAGTGCAAGGTTTCACATTTGCAAATTTCCTAAATAAATTTGTGTATGTATGTAAATCTCCAATTTTCATTCCAAAAAATGTCTTTATCATATAGCAAAAAAGAATCGTTTAAAATTGCCTTAAAAGGTGGATTTATTAAAGAATTTGGTTATAACACATTTGAAAACATCACAACAATCGGAAGAGGGGGATATGGTATAGTTTATCGTGCTGATTCAACAACTTTAGGAAAACATGTTGCATTAAAAAAATTGCATGAAAATGGCGAATTATTTTATGAAAATTTTGTGAGAGAGGTAAAAAATAAATATTTTTTTTTCATTAAGATATATATTTTCGAGATGAAATTAAAATTCAATACAATTTTGGAATCACAGTTAAAAAATATCCTGGCTGTAAATAACCATGACAATATTATTAACTTTTATGGAATCAGTATAGGTATTATTT